AGGTTAGTATTAATCAAAACCCTTAGTCCCTTACCATTACAGCTGCTGATAGGTGGAGTCTGAACATTGCATGAGCCAGGTAAGGCCAAAGCTTGAGTCCGGTTGATGGTGATCCCCAGCAATGAACCGCCGCCGCTGAGGACCTCGCACAAGCACTGCGGGGACAAACGGATGACGCTCCCGAGCTGCGAGCAACATTGGCGGGACGGGGTCGACGAGTTTCCCGTAATGTAGCTGAGGCAAGGTGACATGCTGATTAATACATTAGTGCAACCTGATTGAGCTTTGGTTCCTGCAGAAAGCATGGCTACAAGTACCAGGACAAACATGTTGCCATCTGCATGTTTGACATATTGCTTCTCTATGGGTTATTGGATGATTTTTGAGAATTATGTAGCAACTTTGGTATTAGGGTTTTATAAGGAGACTATAAGCAAATTATGGCAGTTGTGGGTGACCAACTTTGCTACTCTTTGAACTAGATCAATAGTCAACTATATATACACACACACACACACGTTTGCAATGGTTCAATAATGGAGACTTAAGGCTTTATAAAATTATATGTGGGTGACCAACCTATAAACAAAAGTGTGGATTGGGTGGGTGACTAGGGATGGGGAAGGGTCTGGCGGATGAGGATTTTAATTTATCTAAGTCCGATTCGAGTATATTATCCTTCACTTCTCATTGGACTTGGTCCAACTTTTAATTTTTTTTATCTGACTCCACTTTTAAGGTAAAAAGGCTTATTCTGTCCGACGCAAATATATATACACAATTTTATTTTTATTATATAAAATAGGGACCTCATTGAAAAATATAAATAGTGAGATATTTTAACAATTATCTTTAAATATATAAAGATTAATTTGATAGAGTATTTTTTACCCTAAACTCAAACATAAAAACCTGAAACGAATTTAAACAAATATAAACTTAAAATTAACGAATTTAAAACTCATATTCTGAACCAAATTGAATTTAAATAAATATAAAATATATTAATCTCCTACTTAAGTAACACATTAACCTCTAATTATTATTATGATTCGGCTACATGGACTGCCCCAATACCTAGAGATATATGAGGTGATTACAATATAGGATATGTTCGAAAGATTATTACATCCATTTTATTATTTATTAAAAAAGTTGCAAATAGTTGCGTGGTCAAGTAGGGATGGACCGAGAGGGTAGGGTCAGTCGCTCCCTGAAAATTTAAAATTACCTTACATTTAAATTTTTTCTATGTATTTTCTACTAAAATTCTATTTCGCCCCTCCTAGAAATTTAGTTAACCTCCTCTGAAATTTAATATAAACTAATTGATCAATGGATCAAAAATTAATATATATATATATATATAACACAATTATTAAAATATAATGTGTCCCACGCGGAACAAGTGGAAAATTTGGCCGATTGCTTCTTGATTTGATTAAGCAATTCAAGTCAAGATAGGGTCCATTAACTGCCTACGTAGTTAAACCAATCTCCTTTGTTGTTTATTCAACATAATTAGTTATAGTTGAGCTTCAAATCCACCTGTTTTTCTCTTGCCTAAACCCAGTTCCCTGCGTATAAATAAATCCACTCCTTTTGTCTTCCCAGCCATCAAATTCCAACACTCAAATAATCTGTCTTTTTGTCTCTTCTCATCACGACAATGGAGTTTTCCAAGTCATCTTCTCACCATGTTCCGGTTCTGGTCTTATCGATGATGATGATGTTTTGGTTGCCTGTTTATGGGCAGATCAACAATCCATGTGCTCCCACGATGCTCAAGACCTTCACGCCCTGCATGAATTTCCTCACGTTCGCCGAGCGCGGATTGTTGCAACTCTCTTAAGAACCTCACTAGTGGTGGCATGGACTGTGTGTGCCTCATCGTCACCGGAAGCGTCCCTTTCCGGATACCTATCAACCGTACCCTTGCCATATCTCTTCCCCGAGCTTGTGACATGCCCCTCTACAATGCAAAGTTACGTGGAACATTGTAATGGAATCCTGATCAGGGATGAACACAAGAAGATTCTATATTAGTAGACAAATTTATAAAAATTTTGGGGGCGTCGGTCCATCCTGCTCTTTATGGTCCTGGTTTCATGTCTATTGAACATCAATATTGCAGTTGTACATGTTCTTAACATTCGGTCTAATAAAAATATTTCTTTGTTTTGCAGCGGCCGGCGGTGTGCCTATTCCTGCTCCGGGTCCTTCTCATTATCACCCACACTCGCTCCTGGAATTTCGCCATCTTTAAGCCCCACATGTTCCATTGTGCCTGAACCGACACCGTCAGCTGAAGCACTGGATTCCGACACCACGCTGGCGTTAACCCCACCATAATTAACAACAAGTTCTGGAGGTCCTCCGAAAGCCACCACAGGAAGCCGGGCTGGTGTTACCCCATCAGCTGCCAACCCCTCTTATAGTTTCCCACCAACCCTTTTGGTATTAACTTTAGGATTTGTAACATTGGAGTACTGCTAGGCCGCAATGTATCCGATTTTTATTTAAATTAATAAATATATTTTTCTATTGATGCTTATATACAATTTATAAGTAAATTTAAATAGAATATATTACTTTAATTATCAATATTTGTTCTATTTATTGATTAGTTTAAATTACTTATTGTTAATATATTTTTATAAGGGTGATTCTTCGAATTCAATCTACTTCATTCATAATGTCAGAATTCAATATTTTTTTATTAGTCGATTAATTTAAATTAATTGTTGTCAATATTCTTTATAAGAGTGATTCTCCCAATTTAATTTACTTCATTCATAATGTCAGAATTAGAACTCTTAGGTGTTTGGTTCGCTGGAATGTTTATGAGGGAATTAGAATCTATGAATGAATTAAAATTTGAATTTGAAACCTGTTTGGTTGGCAGGAAATTGAATTGGAATCTAATTCATATTCTATTTGGTTCGTAGACATATCAGATGAATTTGATTTCAGTAATGTAAAATAACAGAATTGCCCTTCTTGTTTTTTTTTGCTTAATTTTAGTTTGTTTTATAACTTACATGTAGCAATATATTATAAATATTTAAAAAATATTAAATTTTTATTTTATTAATTGATTATTCATTTCAATAAATTATAAAAATCATACTAATAAATATCATAAGTTAAAATCATCCAATTAGGGATGGCCATGGGTCGGGTTGGGTCGGGGTTTTGGTCCACTCGACCTAAGAACAAGGGAACCTCTACCCGAGACCCGACCCGACCCGAATATATAAATTAGAAACCCGACCCGAAATAATAAAAAAAATATTTTTATTCAATAAAAACAGTGACTTAATTGAAAAAAATTATATATAGAGGGGTATTATTGTAATTATTCTTAAATATATAAGGTAAAATTATATATTTTTTCGGGTCGTGTCGGGTATTTTTCACCCTAAACCCGAACCCGAACCCGACCCGAATATCACACTTAAAAAAACCCAACCCGAATATCAAACTTAAAAAACCCGACCCGACCCCAATTTTTTTAAAAAAATCCGACCCTATCCTAAAATTTTAAAAAATAACTTGACCCGACCCGAATATCAAACTTAAAAAAACCCGACCCGAACCCGTATTTTTTTTTAAAAAATCCGACTTGATCCCGAGTTTTTTTTTTTAAAAAAAATCCGACCCGAATGCCAAAAGATTGATGAGGGTAGTATGGTTAAATTTCACATTCCCTCCTCTAGAGGATTTCAATTCTATCATGTTATGGATGTAATTTACTTTCTCTCGCTTGATGTAATTGGATTCCAATTTCCCCTTTGAAAACTTGAACCAAACATGGGAAAGTAGTAGAATTGGATTTCAATTCCCCATAATTTTAAGAGATTCTAGTAAATCAAACGTCACCTTAATTTTATTTAAGGAATTTAATATCTTATTTCAGTAAACAAACTATTTTAATATCTTAATTTTATTTAAGGAATTTAATACTTTATTTTAGTAAACCAACAATTTAATCATTGACTTAATTTTTCAATTAAGGATAAATTACTCATTTTGTATCTAAACTATCATTTTTGATATATTTTAGTACCTAAACTTTCAATTTTTTAAAACCATACTAAGGTTTAGTTTTTTTTCATTTTACTACCCGCTGTTAAAACTTTAATTTTTGTTTCATTTTAATACCCGTTCAAAATTTAACGTTAAGTTTTGAAAATTTTGAAAGTTTAGGTAATAAAATGGACCAAACAAAACTAATAGAATGGAAAACTAAATGTTAGGTATGATTTTAAAAAATTGAAAGTTTAAATACTAAAATGAATCAAAACTGATAGTTTAGGTACTAATGCATAATTTACCCTCAAATAAAATTTATATCCATTAGTTTTAATTAACAGAAATATTTTAATTAGGACTAACTTAACGTCCATTCCCGCCACACTCCTCCACGAATTTACTTAAACACCCTCTCCGTAACACATTATTAACAGCCTTAACCCACTGTTTCTCTTTCTCGCTCTCCCTCAGCGCCATTGCGAAGAACATCTTCTTATTGCTCCTCCTTGGTGCGGCGGCGCAGCCACCGCCACCAGAACCTCAGCAAGAAGGCTGCGTGGACGAGCTGGTGGCGTTTTCACCCTGCCTGCCCTTCGTGTCGGACCCTCCAAACAATGCCTCTGACTCCGTTGCTCCACAGTGCTGCGACGTCTTCGCTTCTGCTTTTGAATCCGGCGACGGTTACTGTTTTTGTTACGTCCTCCGGCAGCCATTGATATTTGGTTTCCTGTTGAACAAAGAAAGGGTTGCTTCACTGTCTTCTTTTTGCACGGCCAAGAACGGCGTCGCTTCTCTGGACTCGCTCTGCTCTTCAGGTTTTTCATCTTTTTAGCCCAATTGCTTGATTCACTGATTTCTTGATTAAGAATTCATCAGGTTCAAGGCCTTTAACCTTTTGATTTGATTAGGAAAACTAGTGGCTTTTAACGCTTTGATTAACGTAATCGTGCAATTCTTAATTATGATCATGCGATGGGTTGACCATCGTTGCCGCCATTTCCAAGCACCACCGATCCAGGGACATCGAAACCATCCGATTCATCGGATTTGTCAGATTTGGCGGACTTGCCTCCGGAACCTGTGGTCAGGTTGCCAACACCACCGAGTTCCTCGGTAGAACAAGCTATGTTTACTTCTGCAACAAACCGGGTTTGGAAGCAAAGAAGTTGGTTCCTTCTTGGAATGATGATTTTCCTGCTTAATCTACATTGAATCCTAGTATTAAAGTAGTGTAGATTTCTCAATTTCATTCAATCTATACTATTGATGTGAATAAAACACTTTGTAATCAGCAAAATGATAGTGTATGAAGATGTCGTCTTTCCCATTTGCTTTACCATTAGGCCATATTGTGTCACTTGAAGTGAAACACTTGAGTTCATCACATTTATCACTGTGAAACAAAAGCAGCAAAGCAAAGGCCCCCCTATGAAAGAATGGCAGAAAAATAGAAGTGAAAGACCCCTCATGTGTCACATTTCCACCCGTCGGTCCAGTCGGCTTCATCTGTCCAAGTTTTGACATTTTCGGTTTCCGCTGTGTATTCACCCCATCTTTCAGCAATGCTGCTTTCATCACAATCTGACATTCCTCCGATGCTGGAACTTCATCGACGTACACTTCTTGCTTTTCGGGCAGAGCACAGCCCTGGTAAGAGTTGTTATCGACACAACGCCATATAAGCTGGCTCCAGTATGGGTCCTGCCATTCATTTATGATTCATCAGCAAGCCAAACAAAGAAAAATTATGCAATGACTCTGAGGATCTATACACCGGATTAGCAAATTTTCGTCTACATTATTCCAGAGAATTGAAAATATAGTATAAATAAACTAAGATCCTCGACTATGTCTTCTTCTTAGTCATACAAGGTCTTACTAATGATTACTCGAAAGTAAATGAACACCGCAAGTGAAGATCGATACCTTGGCAATTATGTGTGGATTTCCAATAATAACAAGCAAAGCTATGGCACGGGTAATGGCCACATTAAACCTTCTAGGATTGCTCAAAAACCCCAGACAATGGATTCTGTCAAACTCATTGTGTTTGATTGTTGATCGGACGGTAGATATGATGATAACTTTCCGTTCTTGGCCTTGGAATTGTTCAACAGTGCCAACCTTGATATCTGGTGTGTCAAGGCTCTCAAAGGCCTTCTGTAGTTTGAGGACTTGCTGCCTGTAGGGGGTTATAATCCCAATATCTTCCTGGCTGAGAATCCCGGTTGCTATCAAACTACTAACAATTTGTACAGCCTTGCTAGCTTCAATCCGATTGAACCATGACGGATTACTTCCTTCCCTCTCGTCACAGCCTTGTATACCAAAGAAAAAGACAGGGTACTCCTTGTTAGGAAGAAACTTTACTGAATTCAGTAACGAACCTGTGTCATCTTTGCAAGGGATTAATTCACCGTTGTAGAAAAGCAATGAAGGGAGATACAGGATCTCGGGGTGACATCTGTAATTTCTAACCAATTTTGTCACATAGTTTTCATCCCCATTAGAGTAACACTCATGTTGGAACAGCCTTTCTAAATATGACTTCCCCAGTCCAAAATCATCAGCTTCTCGGGAGTATATGACCGGACCTAACTGCATTGGGTCCCCAGCAAGCACAACAATAGTCTCTTTTTGGCAAAGGTGCGCTAAAGGGATCATGTTTTCCGGTTCTGAAGCTTGACCTGATTCATCCAAGAAAATATGAGTAAAATGACCTTTACTAACACTTTCTGCATACAGGAGGGAGGAACTCATGTAAGTTGATATCACGATTCTGTAGCGGGCGAGAGCTCTAAGCGGAGGACATTTGAAGATAAGCTCGTCAAAGAAGCAAAACCTAAGAAAATTCTGTTTGACATCATCATATGGCCGCGTAGCTGCGTTTAGTCTGAATATTTCATTCTCTTTAAGCTCAACAGATTCCTCATTGAGGAGTTTCTCTAGAATGAAATCAGCCGCACTATTTGAAGGTGCGCACACGAGAATTCGAGAAGACTTTTGGGTTTGATAGAGCTGGAGGATTGCCTCCACTATTGTCATGGTTTTCCCTGTACCTGGTGGCCCGAAAATCACATAAGGTGGTCCTCCTTTGCAGCCGAGGATCATCTCAATTGAACACATCTGCTCCTCATTAAGTGTACAACAGATGGGCACTAGTGGAGTGGTTTCGATAACCCTACTTTCGGGTGACTCAGATGGAAAAAGGAGACCTACATCTAGGCTTTTTGTAGCATCGATGGCATGGTACTGCCTCCGCATATTGATTCGGTTATACTTGAACTGCACATTATAAAGATTTTCATCTATGTGGTTTGAGTGAAATTCTAGTGCAAACTTCAAGTACACTTCCTCAGCTTCTACCCTATGGATATAACCCTGAAAATCACCACATTCACTCGTCAAAAAGCCAGAAGATTCTCCAAAAGATTAATAATAAAGCCAATAGGACTGGAATGACAAATGAAACAGGAAAGGGAGAGAACAAGACTAAGAGAGAGATCAGAATCATGCAACATATAAATATCGAGATTTATGATTAAGAGTTGAGACAAACCAGTTTGTATTATTCATTCAGATATGATATATGCATTCCTGTTTATACAGATTATGTTGATGATGGCATCAAAAAACAAGAATGCATTATCCGCTGAAAATGAAGAAAGGCCTTGCTCTTCAGTTTTTAATGACCTCAAGAAGCTTGGCCTTAAAAACAGATGAGCATCTAAGCATTAAACCACATATAGACCTGAATGACATAGAAGCAATAAAGGCCAAAGAATGTAAAGAATATAATTCAAATATCACAGTTCACACTTCAGCTAAAAGAGGATGGAAGCAACTTAATGTTAAAAGGAAATAGCATACAGTATTTTGCATGTAAACCAGACCTCATAAACTCGAGTTGCTTCATTAGCATCATCTTCACACGTGAGTTTAACGAATATATGATCTCCATGAACAAGTGAGGGCCTTTTTTCTGCAAGCCCCGGGACCTGAAGTGATAAGTACTTCCCTTTCTTCCTCATGTTGATGTTCTCCATGTTATAGGCCCTCATGTCCTCCTGAATCCACAAAAAGGGATTTCTCAGTTCCATATCATGCAAATCAATAATCAACCATATAAACAACTGAAGATTAGAATTACCTCTAGTTGTAACTCTTCCAGGATTAAGAGATGTTTGAAGTAAGCTGCATAATTCTCTCTTGTAAGGCCGGCTTTTATGGCACCAGGAGTCTGCTTATTCTCAACCAGTTCTCTGATATCATTTGGAATGTCATACCAGGGAAGCTTGTTTCGAGCACCTCGACCCATTGCCCTTGCCGGGCGTGACCCAGTAACATATTCATCGACTGAAAATTGTTTCTTTCTTTGACTTCTAGAGTATGGCTTTTTAGATGCCAAAGAACGCGAGATCTTGTCTTCAACCAAGAGAAAGGCCACTCTTTCCAATCTTTCACCCTCAACATCAAAATGCACTATCGTAGTATGCAAGCCGATTTCCATTGCTTTGCAGGACAACCAAAGGGTTAAAGTCTCTCCGGGCTGTATCATTCGATCCTCTAAATCGAAGAACTCAATGAACTCTTGGCTTGTATTTTCGTCAGAGTTCCCCAATGGAGGTTTCATCAAAGAAAGAGTGAAAGAGTTCTCCGGACTTGATGCATAGATTTTTGTCCAGCATTCCACCGGATCATCAGTGGTGTTCCTGATACTAATGGAATCGAAAGCAGTTGCTCCAACAGATATATATTGAGGATTCCCATTTGAAAACGGGAATGGTGTAGAGATTACAAGAGGACCATCCTCAAACGGATTGAAATTACAAACAGATTCATCGACTGCATAGTCGATGAAATCGATTCCTCCTTTATCACCAATAACGGAATATTCGTCATCGGATCTGTCACCAGTCGTTCCCATAACTAACCCCAAAGAAAAGAACTGATTCTAAACAAACAAGAAAACACAATAGCCGACCATAAATCCCTTATATAAGCAGGCATACACGTATAAGATACAGTTACAACGGAAAAAGAATGAAAACAAATTTTCAGCATCATCATCAACAACAACAAGCAGACATCGCAACAAGATTATGACACTAAAACAACAGGGAAATGGTAATAAAACAGGATGATGATAATCAAGCTGAATGGATTTGAAAATTGAAATGCAATCAGAAATCAAACAGAAAAATCCCAACATTTCAAATTTTTGAAATGCAACATCACCATCAACCATAACGTTCATGTAAAAATTCATGGGGGAAGCATAAACCAGTCCACAAAGCAGAAACAAATAAACCCAGCAACAGAAAAAGGACAATGTAGAAGAAGATAGGAAAACGAAGGCAAACCCATAGCGGAAACATAATTTCAAATACCTACTGTGCAAAAACTAGGAACACATAAAGAGTACGTGAACATGAACGCTATATTGGAGGGGGAAGGGATTAAAAAAAAAAAAAAGCTCACCTCAGTGATGATGAACCGAAGCGTGGACAGGGAATATGGAAGAGTGGGCAACAAAAGATCAAAACAAAATGCAGAGAACTCAGGAAAAGAAAAGCATGAATTCCTTTTTGTTTTTAATAAATAAAAGCAGATAGAAGGGTCTATAATATTTAAGGAAAATGAAAACCACAATCAGCAGATTTGGAACTTGTGTGGCAAAATCATATTGGTTCCAATGGGCTTCTATTTCTAGCAAATAGCTTTGCTCATAGAAAGTGAGACAGACAGTCAATTCCCATTATGGTGAAAGGAAAGCTAATTATACCTTAATCTCTTTAATCTCCAACTTTGAGTCATTCTATGTGAATAATTAAATTATCAATATCATGTTAATCAATATTTTTTAGGGTAATTTATACGAATGATCATTAATGTTTTGAGAATAAATTTTTGTTTTTCTCACTAAAATTTCTAAAGTAAAAAATTGATCACTAATATTATTAATTTATAATAAATTAATTACTTTCCGTTAACAGTCGTAACAAAATACTGACGTGATACATTACACCAATTAACATCAAATATAAGGTCCCTTTTAGCTTTTCTGTTGGCATAATTTTCTCCGTCGAAAATTACATTTCATTATCATTTGCGAATAAGATCATGATTTGGTAATTCAAACAAGGGGAAAAAAACCGAGTTCTTTTCATTTGAATTTTTAACTGTTTAAAATAAGATATTATTCTCCTATTGCCATTGTGTTGGGAGTTGTCTTCCTCCTCTTCTGGGTGAAAACAGAGTCACGATGATTCAACTATGCTCCATAGTGTTAAGAACTCATCAGAATCCGTTGGGTTTCTCTTCACTGTTGCTTTGAGCAGCTTCTTGCCACACGCAGAGATCAAACATTGGAGTGAATTCTGGGTTTTCTTCATCTCACAATTTTCTGCCAAGTCTTAGGTGCAAATTTGTAATCTGGAATTGTGAAAGAGAGACCATAGCTGTAGAGCATATGTTCAAAACAAAACTATTCTTTCTACATGTGAAAGCCAGAAGTATTAAGTGTTTCACTTCGTCAAAGAAAAAACAACTTTCTCTCGTCAATTCTCCAAACACTTGAAATTCATAAACTACAATTATCTCACCATAATTTTTGCACCGCAAGCTTTTTCCAACGATTTTCTGAATCAAATCGTGATAAAACTTCTAAACTAGCGTAAGAATTCAAATCGTATGATGCAGATAGAGACATTTATTGGAATCCAATTGAATCACACAAGAAAAAACACAAAAGCAGCAAAGAGCGACAAAAATAACATGCGTCGAACATCGGAGGCATTTCATCGAACAGCCCAGCTACACTAAACAAAAAGGAAAAAGGGCAAGATATTTAATTGTAAGACATTTTTAAGTAACATTTAGTAGTTAAGGAAATCGGTCGGTCAAACAATCGGTTAGAGGAGGTGGAGGAGGACGGCCGTTCGTCAAACATACCGAGTCGTTGGTTTAACATGTCACATTATTATTCTATTATTAAACTAACGGCTACTAACGATGAGTGACCAGTTTGTTATAAATCGAAAACGTTAGTGACAAATTTGTTACTTTTGAAACTTCAATGGAGAAAACTAAAACTTACTCGAATATTAGTAACCATTTGTGTAATTTACCCTTTGTTTTATAATTTGTAAACAGGGATAAACTACACATTTAACACCCAAACTATCAATTTTGATCTATTTTAATACCTAAGCTTTCAATTTTTTCAAAACCATGTTTAACGTTTAGTTTTTGTTTTATTTTACTACCCATGTTAAAAATCTAACGTTGAGTTTTTAACAAAAATAAAAGTTTAGGTACTAAAACATATTAAAACTTATAATTTATGTATGTGTTAATTTTTTAACGGAGGGTATTAAAATGAGAAAAACTAAACGTCAGACATGATTTTGAAAATTTAGATGCAGAAATTTAAGATCTCACCTTATGTAGGCTAGAGGGGTGTGTGTCACGAGATGCAGCAAACCCTCCGACCATACCAATTATTCTAGGTAGATCTCGACTGATTCTCTAGGTCGTGAGGCTCGTCCACATTTACTGCAACAATTAATGATATGAAAGTTCGTTTCGTCAATCATTGGTTGCTCAACCCTTTGATTTAGGTAGAGAGTCGCGTCAATAAGGTAAAAGTCATCGGTCGATGTTTCTTTATGAGAGAAATGAAAACATAGAGTGAGAAGATGAGGGTAAAGAATGAGAAGAAAGTGATTAGACCACTTCTCTCGTCTGTGGCTATAAGGTATTATAATAACTCTAGTCGATGGTATCAGGCATACAATAATCATGACTACTCGTAGGTCAACATGTCAAATAGATTTGGTTGCCAATCTTGAATTTCACTATCATAGGTTATGTGGACCTTTCAGAGGTTTTATCTATACGTTGTTGATTACGCAGAAGTTATGATACTCATGTGATTGGAGGAAAAAGATTCTTTAAAAGCTTCGATAAATGATAAAATCTATTCGAAAGTCTCAACCGATAAATAGATGGTGATTTACGGTTTTTTGGAGCCAGTAACGGAATCAAGAAACTTTTAATCAAACTTCATAAGTACGAGGAATTTCTTGCACTAGCTAAAGGCAAACATAGCAAATGTTAATACGTAAGCAATTAAAGAACATGATTGGAACCTATTGTTTGCGATAATATACGGGAAGATATGGCTGCGGCTAAATGCCATGCTCTTATATGGAGAAAATGAATCTTATAAATTATACAATCATTATTTCGAAAGAAGTCCATAGCTTGTAAACGAATCGAATGACTACGAACGGGTGTATGTTCATGTTCATTCATTTAATTTTAACCGAACAAATGAATGAACACGAACATAAACGAACAAAAAATTTCTTGTTCGTATTCGTTCGTTGAGGAATGTAGCGTGTTCGTGTTCATTCATTTAAATGATAAACAAACAAATATAAACGAACAGATATAAACGAACATAAACAAACACAATAAACGAACACGAACAAACGAAAGTAAATGAACACAATAAATGAACATAAACCAGAACAACAATAATCACATAAAAATTTGTTAGTATAAGTTGCAACTTCATAGTTAATTTGTTCGAGTACGACAAAAGCATGCATAAATAGTAAACAAACTATATGAAAATAATAAAGTTAAAGTCTTAAAGTATTCAACAAAAGGATCTTTTTAAAATCCAAACGTCTTCAATAATCTTCAACTTGCATTTATGAACAATCGTCAATTCAGCATTCATCCTGATTAGAACCAAATAAATGAAATTATATTAAATTAAATAAGTTATAAAAAAAAGAAAAATATTAAACAAATACCAAATAGCGTGAGGAGTGAGAGATAAGATTGAGATTTGAAAATAGATTTTTTTCTTCTTTCCTAACAATTTTAGGATTATATTTTATTTAATTGTTTTGGGTTTTTTATTTGTGTTTAAAATTAATTAAATATAAAAATATTAGCGGGTAACATATTAAAATATATTGGTCCTTAATATTTTAAATAGATCTAGAGAGATTGGGCTAGACATAAATGAATGAACATAAACAAAAGAAAATGAATGAACATAAACAAACGAAAATAAACGATCGTAAACGAACGAACATAAATGAGCATAAATGAATGAACATAAACGAACATATTACCAAAAGTTTACGAACGTAAATGAACAAACGAGCCCTTTGTTCGTATTCGTTCATTTAATTAAACGAACACAAAATCTTATTCATGTTCGTTCGTTTAATAAATAAACGAACATAAACAAACTTTCCGCCGAACGATTCATGAGCGGTTCAGTGAACATTCAATTCGTTTACTGTCTTAATCTCATATAGCAATCTTAATTAATGGTTGAAAAAAATACAATTATTTTAATCAAAGGAAAAACACCAGAAAAGAGAAATCAAACTACAACTTCAGCAGCTAGAACAAATGAACAAAGTCCAGGATCGAGGCTTTGGGGTTGCCCATACTCTCTTCAGATCCACGTTTTGGCTCTGTCGAGACACAAAGTAAGACTCTGGCAGGTTGTTGAATATCTCATCGATTAAACTCGACGGTACCCCGAAGCCGAAGGCGAGTTCCTTCACCTCACTATCAATTTGTTTTACCACGTTGTCCTTCCCGGCTATGAAGATCCTCGTGTTGTTCCGGTTTGAGAGTCCGAAGGCTATGAAACTTACGTGCTGGTTGTGGGATGCAATATATGTGACCGGATGGCCTGTAGGTGTTATTATTACATCGCCGGCAGATAATAGGACTCTCATTTTTTAGTATTCTCTACCTCTCTTTTCCTCCTCTCGTTCAATTTCCTCTTGCTCTTCTCTTCGGGCCTTTTCCTCTTCTATTTCGGAGCTTTTCCAGTATTCTCCCCCTTTTGTCTCCTCTTCTCCATGAGAGTTTTGGTTAGAAAGACTA